AGGGCAGGCTGTTGCAAGCCCTTGGCAGGGGCTCAGTGGTGGGGCAGGGACCCCGTGGGGCACTTGGACATCTCTGGGCCATTGTCCCCAAAATGCGGGTGTCGTGCAGGCTTTGTTGGCTGGGCTTGCATCGCCCCGGACTACATCCTCTGTGACCCTTCCATCCAGAGCAAAGTGGTGGAGAACATCAAGGCGACTCTGCAGGTGAGCGTGGAGTTCCCCGTGCTGTGGGAGTTGTCCCCGTTACAGCCCAGGTGTGAGTTTTGTAGCTGCAGCCCTGGAGCTGTGGTTGTTGTGAAGGTTTGTTGAGCGCTTTGGTTCTGCTGTGCCCTTCGGCAGGAATTCTATGGGGAAGACGTGAAGTCATCTCCGGATTACGAAAGGATTATCAACAAGCGTCACTTCAAGAGAATCCTGGGCCTGCTGGACGGGCAGAAGATCGCTCACGGGGGAGAGGCTGATGAGGCTTCCTGCTTCATAGGTGCTTCTGGCAGCTGTTGGGGAGGGGAGGTGGTAGCAGGTGCCTTTTGGGGGCTGTGTATGTGCCTGGTTTGCTCGGTGTGTGTTGAACGGAGGCAGTGCTCCGGCTGAGGTCCTGTGATTGACCACGTCTTCTGTCCTGCTCACTCCGTCTCCTGCCCTCCTGTTTGCCGCAGCACCGACTATCCTCACCGATGTTTCTCCGGAGTCAAAGGTGATGGAGGAGGAAATCTTTGGACCGGTCCTCCCCATTCTGACCGTGAAGAACGTGGACGAAGCCATTGAGTTCATCAACCGTCGGGAGAAGCCCCTTGCCCTGTACGTCTTCTCCAACAACAAGAAGGTGGGTCTGGGCTGTGCTCCCCCACGGAGGCATCTCTGCGCAGTTCGATCCTGAACGTGGCCAGTCCCAGGCACGGCTCCCCCCAGGGCCCGTGTCGACTCCTCTTTGCTTGTGAATCGTAGCGTTTGCTTCACGGGGGACCACGAGTGTCCCCAGAGCTGCTGGAGGCTCCCAGTCTCCTGGCTCTGTTGTGCCAGCTCAGGAATTTAGGTCAGGGCTTTGCCCTGACACAACAGCCCCGGGTAGTTTGGGTGGGAGGGCTATGGAGCACCCTGGGCTCCGGCTGCTGTGCAGCAGCCTCCGACCTGTCCCGCTGAGATGGAGCCTTTTCGCTTTGTGTCTGTTCCAACTGGGCAGATCTTGTGCTTAAGTAATGTAAACCTGGCCTCTCTCAAGGGACAAAGCACAGCCTGTCCCCCCTCAAAGGGGGATGCAAGCATCACCTTGACACCCACCTGCTCTGGTAAATGCCATGGTGTTGGTGGCCCATCTTGATTTCCCTCTGTTCTGTGCCATCTCTCATTCTTGGTGGCTGATCAGACAGGTGATATCGGAGACCTCCAGTGGTGGCATGACAGCCAGTGACATCTTCAAGCACTCTGTGGTTCCGGATCTGCCCTTCGGCAGTGTGGGTATGTCCCTGCTCCATCCCGTACACCTGGTTTCAGTCTCCCAGCAGCAGCCTCTGACCCAGGTGCCGTCATGCCCGCTTGGCAGTTCAGGAACTTTCAGCTGCATTTTCCCATTATTTTCACTGGTGGATTCCTTTGTAAAAAGGCTCATTAGTGGTTGGAGCAGTGTTGGTGCCAGTGGGAGAGAAAAACCCTCCGGCACATCTGTCCGCAGCTCCAGTTCTCCTGTGCCGGGGCGTGGGATGAAGTTGCCTGTGGCCAAGCAGCTGGTTGAATTTCCACGGTCACTGTCAGGCTCGTGGCTTTGTGGCTGAGACAGCCTGGCTGTGGGTAGAGGGCTGAGGTCTTGGGTGTTTCTGATGGCAGGTTGTGTCCCACTGCTTGAGATAATAGACCCTGTTGCTCCTGTCCCCGACCCCAGTGTAAATTTTGTGGGAGAAGCAGGACTGGCCCTGGGGAGGAGAGGGCTGGTGCCGTTAACATTTCAAGGGTGGATGCACACAACCAGCCTGAGCACCAGCTCAAGGCAGTGAGCAGGTCCTCACTTATTTCTGGGTAGTTATTAAAGCTGCTCTTTGCTTCTCTGCCCTTGGGGAGCAGAGCAGCTGCTCCAGGTGTGAGAAGCACCGCGACCAAGCTTTCCCTGTGTCCTGAGGGCTGCCAAACAGAATTTAAGAAATGCAGCTGTCACCGTGCATGGTGTGACCTGCCTGGGTTGTGTCCCTCAGATAACAGCGGGATAGGTGCCTACCATGGCAGGGTAGACCTTCTCCCACCGCCGCGCCTGCTTGATCAGGGACCTGAAGATGGAGGTTATGCACAAACTCCGGTACCCACCTGGCAGCCAGAAGAAGGTGGATTGGGCCAAGTTCTTCCTCTTGAAGCGGTTTAACAAGGGCCAAATTGTACTGGTCATCTTGGCCCTGCTGGGGATTGTGGCAGCGGTGGTGGCAAAGGTGAGCTTTGGCTCTCTGCTGTCCGCGTCAGTGCGTGTTCCCAGCTCTGTCCCCTGAGCCCCACCTGGTCTCAGCCTCCATCGCCCTGTTGCCTCGGGCTCTGCTCCCTCCCTGTGGGACTCAGCCTTGTTTCTGTGCCTCTCCAGATGGTGTCCCCTGGATGAGAGGGGTGATCAGCAGCCAGCAGCACACCGGACCTGTAACCCGCCACTCGCTCCTTGCAGTCCTAGTGCTGAACATTTTTTTTGCTGCAATTTCTTTTCTTCCAAGGCAGCCGATGCGCTGAAGAGGTAGAAGCAAATGAAACGCACCTAAAGCAGAGAAACTCCGAGCTGGAGGCTCCGGCTCCTGTTGAAACATGGGAATCGATCCAGACCTACACCATTGGTCATGCCTCAGCAGTGAGTGGCAGCACGTAGGAGGAGGCAGCATCTGCCCTGCTTTGCAAACAGGAGCCCATCTAAAAGCTCTTGGGAATGGGGGAATCGTTTGTCACAAGGGTATCAACAGGCTCAGTAACGACTGGCTTTGTTTTATCCCCATAGAAAGCTGTCTCATACCAGCAATAAGCCTAACAAAATGTGGGTCTTATTGATGGGGACAGTCCAGGCTGGTTGTCCCCAGCAGCCAGCCCAGAGCGAAAATCCGCTAAGAACCTGCAGCATCCCATCCTTGAAAGGACTCAAGACCGAACGGGTGATGTCTTGTTGCAGGGGAAACCACCTTTAGCCATCCAAAGTGTGCAAAGGCTACCTGAGGTGACAGCAGAGGCTTTTTGAGCTGTGGCCACACTCTGCTCCAAGGACTCGAAGAGTGCCAGGGACCGCTGCACTGCTGGTGCGCTGCATTTGGGGCTGCTGGGGGCAACGACAGGGGCATTGCTGCAACCAGAGTCCCAGGTCTGGGGAAGTCCTTGGCCAGAGTGGCTGAGCACCCAGCCGTCTCATCTGTAATTGAATTTCAATTTTTTTATTGATTTACTGGTAGTATTTTACCTCCAGACTCGTAACTGAAAGCTGACCTTGAGCCTTGCTGAATAAAACCTTTGTTTTACTGTGAAGGCCACCTGGGGCACAACCCATGTGTCCCAGCCCCCCGCACGGGCTGCAGCCCCCAGCGTCAGATGTTTCCCTGCTCCAGCCTGAGCCCTGCCCTCAGCCTCCACCCAAAGGAGCCAGCTCGAGTCCAGCTGGGTTTATTCTTTATTTGGCATTTGTCACGGAGCAGTGGTGTGAGCCGGGCTGTGCTCGGCTCCGGTTGGCAGGTGATAGCTGGCAGCACGGGCTGGGAGGGGTTACCCGCACGCTCGGTGTGCGTCAGGCAGCCCAGAGCGGCATTTTGGGTGTCGGAGCAGCTGCAGGGCCCATTCCCGAGCGATGTCTGAGCAGATGCTGCCAAATGCTGATGGGGGCCCTTTGGCTCCCATGGGACAGGCGTGTGCTGGATTCTTTTCGCTGGCCAGTCTGTGCTTTGTACGTCCATCCGTCAAGAGGGGCTTTCACCCCCAAAGCAAAGTCCCCAGAGTCCCTGGTGTTAGTCAGTGTTTGCTGGTCGTCAGCTTTACGACAATGCCGAGCGCAAGTATTGCGACGGCTGCAGCCCCTGCCAGCGCGCGCCGGATGATCAGCTCCTTGGTGGCCATGGCGGTGGCCGGAGGGGACGTGGCAGGCGTGGCTTCCTGGGGCTCCAGCTGGTACGTCGGTCCCTCTATCCTGGTGATGCCTGTGAGCATGACGCCATTCTGCGCATCCACTCCCGCTGCAAGAGAACGGGGCAGCGTCGCTGAGGGCCTTTGGGGGGATCGAGGTGTTTCTTGGGAGGGTTTTGTCTGAGGTCTGAAAGCACGTTACGAGCAGCCCAGAGCATGGAGATGTCCAGCCCTCAATGGAGCTTCGGTGGGACCTGGTGACTGCAAGGTGAGAACTGCCCAGGGTGCCCCATCCCTCCAGGTCATCCCCCTGCCAGCCTCCGTCACCCTCCCGAGCCCACCCTTGTAATTATCGTACAAGGTAATTGATGCCAGTAACTGAGGGCATCACCAGCACTGCGCTGCACCCCCATTTCCTGGGCTTGTTCCTGGCTTATGTGACTCCTTGGGGACCCTTTCTGCACCCAAACCCATCACTGCACGCAGTGCCCGGCTCCCCCATCCCGCCGTGCGCAGCTCCTGGCCATACCTACGCACCCCCGCACTGCCATGGCCGGGGGGTAATCGTGGGGCGGTGGGGCTGACCCCACACCAGAGTGAAGCGCCTTGCAGGAAGGTTCGGGGCCCGGGTTTGGCTCCTCCGGCAGAGGCTGGGTCACTCCTGCGCGCCGCTGAGCCTGGGGGAGGGAACGCTCTGGGTTTAGCCGGCAGTGCGTGGCGTGGGAAATCCCCACCAAGCAGAGCCAACATGTTGCCTCTCACGGGGTTTGTCTGGCTGGAAATGGCACTGTGTAGCTGAAAGATGCCCAAAATGAGAGATGCTGGCTGGTGGAAACCCTGGAGCTGTTGGGGCGCAAGGTGATGCTCAGGGCTGCAGTGTTGAGGTAGCCTCGGTCACCCCGTCTGCTTTGTGCTTCATGTCCCCAACCACGGGCAGCACCAGGCGCAGAGGAAACCTTGAGGCCATTGAGTGCACGTGTGGGAGGGAACCGAATACAGGGACGTGGCTGCGGTCACGGGTGCGCTGGGTTTTGCTGGGGGCACTGGAGAACAGCCCTGGGCAGCACTGGCCCGTGGGATCAAGCCCGTGATGCTGACTCATCCCGCTGCGATCCCAGCCAAGGCACTGAGGACCTTCCCGCTGGCAGGGCGCGATGCTGTGGGCGCGCGGGTTACCTCCTCGGCCGCCTTCCTCCAGTCCATACGGGAGATGTAAGCGATGAAGCAGGTGCAGAGGATGAAGACGGAGATGAGCATGCTGAGCCAGAGGCCTGCAGAGGGCACGCCGGTGTGAGCTGGGTGCCGTGGCCGGAGCAAACCCAACCGAGATGGCATCTCGGGACAGTGAGTCAAGAAAGGGGATGTCACTGAGGTCAGCAGGGACACGGGGGTGGGGCACCCACCCGTGGGTGCCTGCTGCGGGGCTGCCCAGCAGACCTGGCAGTGGTTGCTTTTTCCCACTATAATTAAAAGCTCTCAGTAGTTGCAGGGGCCACCCCAGTGTGTCCAGTCCCCAGCCAGGTAGAAGGGCAGAGCCAGGTGAGAGGGTCATGGCGAGCCATCGGTGGAGCTGGGGGGAGCCGCATCTATCCGCGGGGGATTTGGGGGCACGCAGAGCTGCATGCCCGGGGGTGGGTACCTATGACGCCGATCCTGGCCACGAAGAGCAGCACGGCTCCCAGGGGCAGGCCCACACCATAGTAGCTCACGGTGTTGAGGATGGCACCGAATTTCTGCTTGCCTATGCCTCTGAGCACTCCGCTGCAGGTGCCCTGCCGGGGAGAGGGAGAGGGGCTGGGGCCAGGGCCGGGAGCGCCGCCTTGGCCGGATTCGGGGCTCTGCCACTGCCTGGGGGCTGGTGAACCAGCCTGGTAATGAAACAGCTCCCCGCCTCTGCCTGGTTATTTCTGTGTCCTTGCCCGGTCCTGTGGGTCAGCATTTCTTTGTGCACTTGGTGTTTTCTAAGGGGTGACCCCAGGAGCTCTGCAGCGTCCCAGTGCATGTGCCGGTGCCCACCCGCAGCCTGAGGGACCCCCAACCGACCGACCTGCGATTCTGCTGCTCAGTACCGAGGTCCTCTACCAAAAGTAGCAGCATCCCAGGGACTTACACACATGGCTTCAAACAAGTGGAAGACAATGTAGACAGGTATGACCCAGGCCACCAAGTCAACGATCTCCCTGGGGACAGAGAAGAGCCAATGATCGCTTTTGGGAACCAACCTCTGCACACCGGGGCCGGGAGCCGGCGGCACTCACTTGTCGCGGGTAAAGATGTATCCCAGCATGTCCTTCGTGGCAGCCAAAATGACCCCCACAGCTATGCAAAAAACCCCTGAAAAACAGAGCAAAGTGCTGAGCCTGGCCCGGCCGTGACGGGGAGCTCGGGAGCAGCCAAAGGGAGAGAGCAGGGGACACCAGTGTGTGCCGCGGGCAAAGAACTGCAAACGCTCCCTGCTCCTGCTGTGCCTGGAAGGAGCCCTGGCAAAGGCTTCCTGGCGCGCGGGCTGCCTGACCTGTGCAGAGCAGGCTGGTGGAGGAGGATCTCTTGGCCGTCTCGACGTCGCCAGCGCCCAGCGCGTTCCCCACCTGCACGCTGGCGGCCATGCCGAGCCCCAAGGGGATCTGTAACCACAGGGCTGAGGCTCGCACGTGCATTAGGGTAATGGGGCCATCGCAGAGAGTGGAAAAACCACCCAGCAGAGAGGGAGACAGAGTTCAGGATTTAATTTAAAACATCTCCGTAGGAGGGATAGGCAGGAGGAGGGAGAGGCTTAAGCGCAGAGGGGGAAGACGGAGATTTGCTGGAGCTGATTTTTGCTGGGTGTCTGTACTGGACTGTCCCTAGGGAGCCCTGGTGGGAAATAATACCCCCCAGCCCTTACTTACCATGAAAGCGACAACGGACACCTCGTAGATGATGGACTGGGCGGAGAGCTCTATGACGCTCAGCAGGCCTGGGGGAGAGGAGTGGGTCAGCTCTGGGTTCAGGCGCCTGGCGGAGAGCCGCTCTCAGCCCCCACGACTGCCGTGGATGCCGCTCTGGGTCACAACTCCCCCTCTCCGCTGACCTATCAAGAAGCTCCCGATTTCGTAGGTCCACCACTCGATGCACGTCATGAGCATGCTGGGGACAGCCAGGGAGGTGAAACTGTCCCACTCCAGCAGGCACTCGCTGGACCAGCCTGCAGAGAGGAGAAATGTCACCTGATGGATGACCAGACTGGCCATGTGTTACATCCTCGAGAGCACCCAAGGCAGCTGGAGGTGCCATTCCTGTTTACAGAGCCACCAGGACAATGCTTCTCAGCTCCATAGGACCTCCAGCAGCAGAGCGTGCACGTACGAGCTCTGCTGATGCCATCCTGTGGGCCACAGAGTGGTGCAACCGTCAGCTCATTACTCCCAGAGCAGAGTGTCTAAGGACAACCTCGTGCCTGTGTCTGTGCTCATCCGGCTTCGGGCCTGAACCCTACAAAGCCTCAGCAGAAAGTTTCATTTCTCCAGAATTAATGTTTACTGCCCGGTGTGGTGCTCTGCCAACGCTTGCGCATGATGTGCTGCCACCAAAGCAGCACAGCGTTCCCGGGGCGTACCGGGCTGAGGTTAATATTTCACCGTCAGGACTAACAGAATTCACTTGGTAGAAGTGGTGGAAGATTCATGAACACTCATGTAAAGTGGGACCCAGAGGGAGACGCCCTTACCTCCCCAGGTCTTCACGTGGAGCTTCTTGCCTATAATATACAGGAACAAGAAAATGGTTTGTGAATACTGAGCAATGGTGTTGGCCCAGGCAGAGCCCCTGGAAAGGAAATGAGAAAGGTTGTCGGCATCCTGCTCACGCCTCCCCGGCTTGGGGTGCCAGAGCGTAACGTCCCGCCATGCCCCTGCAAGCGCCGGATGCTCGGCCGCGCCTGGTGGTGCTGACGTCCTTGAAAAGTCCCTTGCCGTTGCCAGGTGTTGTGTTTTCCCCTCCGTGGGACCTGGGCGCTACTCACGTGATGCCCCAGTGGAGCACGTAGAGGAAGATGCAGTTTGTGACCACGTTGACGACGTTGCCAATGATCCCACTCAGCACCAGCGGCCACATGATCATCTGCAAAGAGGAGGAGATGGGGGCTAAGGCACCTTCACAAAAGCTTCGGGAGAGAGGTGTGAAGGTCCCTGCCAGCCCTGTGCTCAGCAGCTTTCCCAGCCAAAAAATAAACTTCTGATGATGTCGCCTGCTTGGAAAATGAGTGTGTTGGAGGTAAATCCCTGACGAGGGGAAGTGTGAAGGGAGGTCTGTCAGGCAGATGGATACAACTGGCTGTGGGATGGGGTGATCTCCAGGGTCAGAGCTGCTCCGGGGCACCTGGGCAGTGGTGGGGATAAAAGCTGTCTTGCCACCGGGAACAGTGAGCACAAAAACCCCAGGTGCGTGGTCGAGGGGAGCCCTGGGCCGGGCTGAACCAGGTGAGGCTGACCCCACCTGGTGGGTGCGAGGGCAGCAGGACCCACCTGGTTCTGCAGGTATCTTGTCTCCAGGTTATACAGAAAAACCGCCTGAAAAGGAAATTGGTGGATGAGAGGAGGCCAGGACTGAGCAGGGGCTGTGCTGCTGTGGTAGAAAATAGGAGCAGGATGGCCGATCCCCATGCGTGGCCAGCATCCAGGGTGCCCACAGGGACTCACCGGGAGAGCAGGGACAAACGCCATCACGTAGCGCTGGGTTAACCTGGGGGGGGCACGAGAGGTACGGTCAGCGAGGGGCCATGGCCACCGTCCCCCCAGCCCTGCCATGCCAGGGAGGGACGAGGCAGAGGTGTCTGGGCCACAGGACCACCCGACCTGGAGACCTCGGGGTCCTGGCGGATAAGGAGCAGGAGCTGCTCGATGTTGATGAGGATGGCACAGCAGGGGAAGCAGCAGAGCAGGAGGATGAGGGTGGCACGCTGCAGGATCACCCCCACGCGCAGCAGGTTCTTGCTGCCATAGGTCTGCAAAGCGAGAGGACAGTGAGCTCTGCTGCGCTGGCAGCACGCTGGTGCTGGGGGGGACAGGGACCCCACAGAGCATGGAGCAGCCCTGACCACCCCGGAAACCTCCTGGGAAGGATTTGGTATTTTAAGGGGCGCACGGAGCTCCCTGTTATGGGGGACAAGCTTCACAGGTGCAGCCGGGGTGCAATGCAGCACCTGGGCAGCATCAGCCGATGCCAGAAAGCCCCGTGTCTCCAGGACAAGCACCCGCATCTCGTACCCACCTGCGATATCAAGGTGTCACATGCCGAAGACAAACCATAACCTACAGAGACGGCAGTAACATTTATAACCTGGAAACAGAAGAGTAAAAAAAAAAAAGAGCATATGAGCATTTTAGGTAGGGAGAGGGGCTAAAAGGAAAAGTGGGAGTCTGAAATCTCCTCTGTCCTTGTCCGCCTCCATTCCCATATCCCATCCCAGCGTAAGCTGGTGGGAGCCGGTGCCTGGCGGCGGGGGCGGTGCCTGGCGGCAGGGCAGCCCCCGGGAATGCTTACAGCGATGGCCAGCGTGACAGAGGCCAGCTCGACCTTGCCCAGGTGGCCGCAGAATATGGAGCTGACGAGATGTATCAGGAAGATCAGCAGCTGGATCAGGATCTAAGTGTGGGGAAGAGGAGAGGCGAAGGTCAGAGACGGAGGTGATCAGAGGCGGCCGTGCTGGGGGGAGATGTCCAGCTGAGTGCATATAACCAGTCAAGCAACCCAATCCCCCTGAAATGTGAGGTGAAGCTGATCTGAGGTTTCAAGCCCCTTGACGGGTGTTTAGCAGCACTCCGGGGCCGTCTTCTCCAGGAGCTGTTGGAGGTCTCATGTCAGCTGGGCTCTGCTGGCTGAGGGACCCACTCCCCAGGGTGTCTGTGGCATTGGGCTGCGGTTGCAGCCACCCCTGCACGCCAGCGCTCTCCTCCCGGGGTCCTTACCAGCGGCCCCGCCAGCACCAGCAGCTTCTTTGCATCCTCCCAAAAGTTGTCCGGGATCAGGCGCTGAAACCAGCGGCGTTTCTTCCCACAGCTGCCGGGTGCGAGATCGTGCCGGCCAGTGGCCATCGCCTCGCTGAAGCCGTTCTCCTCGGGGAGGTTCGCCTGCTTCATGCTGCTGCTCTGCCAGGGGAGTGAAACAACCCTCTTCCTCTGCGCTCTGTTAAAATCACCCTGCCAGGGTGAGCAATGTGTAACCACAGTGGGGTGAACTTCAGCCGGGGCCGGCCGAGCCAACCGCATGCTCTCTGCTGTCGGCAGCTGCGCTGGCGATAGGAAGTGCAGGCAGTGGGTCAGGGCAGGGCACGGAGCTGGAGAGCCCACTGAGGGTCCTGTGCACCACTGTAAGCAGCGCGGAAGAGCCCGGTCGTGCGGTGCGAAGTGCTTGCTGCCTGCCCCAAGCCAATGTAGGGACTGAGTCTTCCCAAATCGCCCCCGAAAGCCCCCCTCCCTCTCTCCTGCTTCGCCGCAGCTCCGCCGGCCGGTGGGCTGGAGGGTCATCCTCCTCTTCCAGCAGCGATGGAGGATTCATGGGTCTGTGTGCGGTCTCTGGTGAGCTGCTGCCGGCAGTGGCGGGGCTGCTGCCCGTCTCGGCCCCTCTCATCGCAGCGCAGCAGTGGCCAAGACAAGCCGGCCCCATTGGCTCCAGCTGTCGGCCTCGCACAGGACGGCAGCGTCGGGGTTTCCCC